ACGTCTGCTTCGCTTTGCACAGCGGGCATGTCGGGTCGTTAGCCACATACCACTTCACCATGTTGACACCGGACGGTAATACATCGTACGCAGAACGAACGATAAATATAGAATCTCTTTTCATCTGTGGGATAGAAATCTGGGTAAGGTCTGTGTTGCTCACTAGTAGACCACCTTCTACGCCATCATGGAGTATACTGTTGCAAAATATAACATTGTTTTGGGGAATTCGCAACGATATGAGAATTTGTTTCTTGAAGTCCATGTAGTGTGGCGGTGATCGCCATGACTTTACCAGCATTCTGTCCCTTTTCCTGCCAAAAGATTTTGCTATTGTAGCAACTGTCTGACATCGTCTCTCTATGTTTGTTTACTGCTGTTTTTCTGTCCGCAAAACATTCCTGTTGTCGCCAAGTAAACTATCTTCACCTTTTCATGTGGTTTCAACAAGAACGAGGAATGTACCCACTTTATGCGAATATCCAGTGCTGTCTGTAAGATAATTTCCTTCCAGACATCTTCATTTCGCTTTTTATCTGTCCATGGTGGTTTTCTCTTACAGCCACAAAACGACAGCTTTCACATATTTTGTCAGCAATCTTTGGTCTGGGTATGATTCACCTCAGTATAATAGGATGAAAGCTAATATTTGGTGACAGCCAGGGTAGTGTATAGGCTAGACGCTTATCACCAGGTCCAGTACACATCGAAAAATATATTTTAAAAATAGATTACATGAACTCCAAAGTCGACCTGAAATGTACTAGCAGAAAAAAAAGGTGACCGAAGCCAATTGTACCATACAATACATGCGTGTCCAATGATCAATACAACAAGAGGGAAGCTGCACATGTAGGAGGTGCGTTGGTTACTCTCTCTTAGTTATGAATACGTAGAAATTCATAAACATGAGCTATCGACAAACAATAGCTTCTTTGTCACAGACGGGATAGACAATTATGGCCGAGAGTCACATCGACCAACTATAGCTCCATTGTCACAGACGGGATAGACAATTATGGCCGAGAGTCACATCGACAAACAATAGCTTCTTTGTCACAGACGGGATAGACAATTATGGCCGAGAGTCACATCGACCAACTATAGCTCCATTGTCACAGACGGAATAATGCCAGAGTGTCACATCGTCCAACTTTGTCTCAGATTGGAAACATAACAGTAGCTTGGAGCTACATTTATTTAGGTTCGAGTCTATAACTATTGGTGAAATACGCCTCAGTTGGTTTCCTCGCGGATTCGGTCGACTGGACAGGAAAATGTAAAGCTTCATGGATCATAAAGTAAATCGATGTCGAGAACTAGGCAGGAAGTAGAGTCGGTTAGTTGTGAATATTTGTAACTATTGGAGAGAGCTGCGTGGTCTCGACGTATGGTGTCCGCCTCGAGTGCTAGAGGTCCGGGATTCAAACCCAGTCGAAGGCTGGTCTTTTGTGTGTCCACATAGACTTCTAGTAATTTCCCCTGGTCTCTGGGTAGTGAGATCGAGTGTCCATGTGCATTGTTGTGTAAACATTCCTTGGCAGTTGGAAATCAAAAAGAGTATCTTAACGGCGCTGCCCCGGCGAAATTTGGAGTTAAAAATCAAACCCCAAAATAGTTCAGGATCCCCGCCGGTGCTACGGAGCCCCTTCACTGCGCTGAACTATTTTGAACTCAGACTTGAGTTAGAAGTAGAACTGAACACTTATGGGTTACTACCCTTGTGCCAGGATGTTGATCCGTTGTTCAAAGCTCAAACTTGTGTAACTTTTGGGGAGGTAGTAATAGTAGTACTTTCACCACACCAGGTCATCACACGAGCGATAAAAGAACGATGTCACAAAGTGCCACCATGCGGATGAGAATCATCCGTCATGAGGTCCCGGAAACCCCGTTCAGCCATTAGGCTAAATTAATGGCCGGGCTATTTGCGGCTGGCGTAATGCTGACCACATTACCCACCCAGTTCCGGTAGGTCTGTAAAATTATGGGGCGCTTTTCCCGTATGCCCGATGAGCCTGAGGCGTGAAAACGGATCATTACTTTTACTTTACTTGTATTGCGGCCGCTGGCAAAAGCCAGGGTGGTGCTTTAAAATAACGAAAATTGCATCCCACAAGGGGATGACTGTTAACTAATGGTCAAGTAGAACGCGGTTGTTTTTTCGTCGCAGCTGCTTATAGTCAAGTAGAACGCACATTGATAGCTGTGATGGGAAAACAACCAAACCATTCTCAGAATTCTAAAGAAGGGTAGTTGGAGAAATAATCATGATTAGAAATAATCTTGATTTATTTATAGAACTGTTCTGTGAAATAGATGGGCAGATTTTATTAGTCTGCGCTGTGTCTGTCTGATTGTAGTCTGCCCGTAGGTATACTGATTAATGGTATCTGGTTACTGATTATAAGATCATGCAATGCAAAAGTAACTAAAATAATAAGGTGTCTCTTTACACAGTGGCGCATCGGGCAAATGAGGCTAGAATCATTTTTAAATATATAATTGGTGGGGGATCTGTGATGGGGTCAACATTATGCTGACTGCCTTTTCTTCCCAAGACTTTACCTGGTACCCAGTTAATGCTGGGACAATGTATAACAAAGTTCATTCTGGAACGAAATCTTGCTCCATGCGGATTTTAACCAGGAGATTCGGATCTGCAGGCTACATACAGCCGCTACATCACGGTTCCCAATTCTATAGTAGATTCTGGTATTTCTACCAAAGACTAATTCCATTACAGATCTAAGTAATTCTACTACAGACAAAATTCCATACTAGACCCAAGTAATTCTACCACAAACAAATTCCAAAACAGACCTAAAAAATTCTGCCCCAAACAAATTCCACAACAGACCCAAGTAATTTTATCTTCTTCTTCTCTGGACCTATTCTACCTTTCAGCGTCAGGTTTTGTAGAGGCAAGTGGTGCCATCCTTGGTATGTGTTTCACAGAAGCTGGTATTTACGGCCTCGGATATTCCATCTTTCCACCGTTTGTGTGGCCGAGTGCTGGCTCCACTTCCGTTACGTCTAAGTGACAAGGCTCTCTGTGGTGCCTTGTCTGGTGGCATTCTTGACACATGTTCTAGCCACTTGATCACTTGATGCTTTGTTTCTTGATGTAACTCAGTACTGGTTCCGTCCCAGCTCCTGTCCTGTTATCGTCTTTTGTGATCATGTCTCTTCTAGTTTCACTGAGAAATCGCTGTAGACATTCTATTTCTGTTGTTTTGACTTTGTTTCTTACTTCTTCTTGTTGTTACATCCAGGTTTGGTACTGATAACACAATTTCGGTACACATATCGTATTGAATAATGCTCTTTTGGTGTCAGTTGTACTGCTAAATTGGCGACATCAGCTTAATGATTATTTTGCTTTATTACATCTGTGATCTATCTTTACTCCTATTTTTCTATTGAATGCTATTATGCTCCCTAGATACTTGCTTTTGTTTGCTTGATTTGTGAGTTTTCTATGCATATCTTGATTGGTTGCTCTGTTCTTGCAAATATCAAAACTTCTGTATTTTATTTTTCAATTTTAATGTGCATGTTTTGTGCTTTTGCTGCTATGTTGAGATTACCCAGATAATCTCCAGCTCTTCTTATATAGTATAGTTGCCAGGAGGGCTTGGTCATCTGTAAAATAATGTGTTCTCATTAATTTGAGATGTTCTACTCATGTGATCTATATATGTGATTAATAGCAGGAGTGGATAAAACACATTGATGGTGGAAAAGAGCATTTATTCGCTCTGGAATTTGATCTCACTACCAATTGGGTATTGTAATATATAGTAGTTGCTGGCTTACCCCATAGGCCCTTTGTGTTTTGCAAAGTATCTGACGGCTGACCTCATGTAATTATTTTACTTCATCTATGCATGCTAGATATAGCGCCCTTTCCTATTCTGTTGTTTTTCTCTGCTATCTGGGGTAGAGTAAAGATCGGATATTGAATTGCGAATCGGTATCACAGTACTCGGGACACTTCCATATGAGCTCCGTCCACATCTTCAGCAGCAAGCGAAGAGTTCTGATTCTGATGGTTCCAGTGACTGTCTGATTGTATATCCGTCTCGCTTTTTCCGTGAGTGTTGAGAGTCAGCCAGATCCCCTGGTAACTCATCACAGTGCCATTCTCCTGAGACCTAAGTGATCTATCTGTGCCTCTGCACTGTTCACTCACTCCCAAAGAGCCCTCACAACACCTAGCCTGTCATAGATAAATTTACCACCAAGTGACGCAGAACTGGCCAGTCTATCTGTCTGCTCATTTCCCAAAATACTAGGATGGCGTGCAGAAAATATCCGAAGGTTACTAAAGTGTCAAGATTACATTAATTTTTTTTTCCCGAAAGACCTTATGATTTGCTGAGCTGACGTACAATAACTGGGTGGGGGAAAAGGTGGGGGAGGGGGGAGGGGGGAGGAGTATTGTATTGACAAAAATATTCTTACTGTGGCTAAGCAAATCTGCATGTGGTGTACTCTCTTTTGCTGCCTAAAAAGTTGCTATCTGTCTCAAGTAATTATGTCATATATTCAAGTAATTCTACACAAGCCAATTTTAAAGCAGGCACATATTTTTTGTTCCTATCGAGTTTTTCTATCGCAGTCAGGTGATTCTATCACAGTCTCATGTAATTATACACTTGTATTGCACTCAAGTAAATAAATCACAGTATGAAATACCATGATCACCCACTAGAGTTCCCATTCCGATGGCTCCAGTGATTGTCTGATTGTATATCCGTCTCGCCTTTTCGATTCTCAAACTGGGCGCCGCGTCCACAAAAGTTTGACAGTCCCTGCACTAGACGACAAGTGTATGAGGTGTAAGGGTAGACTTTTATGCCTCACCTCTTGTTTTCCTTTCCTAACAAATATATACGTAACTGGCTTGCTGGCTTGTATGTTACGTAACCTATTAAAGACTGCATCATCGGGAATTTTTAAAAGCTTTATAATGCTTCAAAAAAAAAAAAAAAAACTGGATACATACACTAACCGACAGAAAAACAAATTGTCAATGTGAAGAGGATAGCAAAACAAGCACGCTAAGAAAGATACACACAGACACCAACATCATTACCAAATATTTGGTCAATGTGCCAGCAAGATCTCGAAAAACTCAAGAAAGGTAAGGCACACATACAGACTGACATACAAACAGACAAATAGACAAACAGGTAAACAAACGCAGATATATATATCAGACCTCCCCCCCCCCCCCTTTCCACAACTGCAGTCTGGTTAATTAATATTTCAAGGATGAGAATCAACAGACAGAAATACACACAAACACGCCAAAAGAAGAAGTACTGGGTCACGGTGACGTTCAAGCAATTTGTCGTTGAGAAAATCAACAATGTCTATTTAGATATTAGGACGTGCAGATAAGCCAGACTGGTGCACACCTGATTACTCCGCTGAAGAGCAGTTAATAGGGGCGGCGAGAGATTTAGTAGTCGTTATGGCAGTCAGTCAGTCACTGCTGCAGACGATTTTGTTTTTATGATGTGTCCTCACGCTACGCAGTCATTATCCGTGCTGTTATCTAGCTGATATCGAATAAAGCTCACATACAGAACCTGGCGCTTCCGTTGAGCTGATTGTAATATCTAGTTTGTATTAACCAGCTTGTTTGTTGCTGTTCATCAATGAAAGCGCTTCTGGTCAGACATCTACGCAGCAATTCCTATATACAACTCCTTCAGTCCCTGAGAGTTATGAATGAGGTCTGAGATTTGAAGTTTGAACAACGGACCAACATTATGGCACAAGGGTAGTAACCCATAAGTGCTCCGTTCTTCTTCTAACTCAAGTCTGAGTCCGAAGAAGCTCACTACAGTGCTTAGGCTCTATAGCACCGGCGAGGATTCTGAAATACTTTGGGTAGATTTTAAACTCCAAATTTTGCCCTGGCACCGCCATTAGGCTGCGTTTTTTGATTTCCAACTGCCAAGGAATTTTTTTTACGACCGCGATAATGCAGACGGGCGTCTGATATCACAACCTAAAGACCAGGTGGAATTACTAGAAGTCCACGTAAAAAAATCCCAGTCCTTACTGGGGATTGAACCCAAAACCTCCAGCACTCGAGGCGGACACCATGCTTCGAGAACACACATCCTTAGAGTTGTGAATGTAACTGATTATATCTGAAGATTAATTGATTATATTTGAGGAAAGTTGGAGGCGAGGAGAGGCAGAAGGAGACCGAAAGACCAGATGCTGGACGGTTTGACATTTTGGCATGAAGGGTCATCTGTGTCAGAGTTGACTAAAAAAGTACACGAGACAGAAGGTTGTGGATAGACATGACTACCAACGCCACACAGCATGGAATTAAGGAAGAAGAAAAGCGTATAAAGGGGTCCTTTACTTTCTGTTACTTATATATGAAGCTGCAGTATAACCTTGTTAACAGAAACTCGTTTAATCGCATAATAATAACAACAGTTAACATTAAGACAGTTTTAGTCCCATCAGGGATTGTCAATTATCACGATATGGTTTTAATTTTGGACAGGACTCGATTTTCAGTCTTTTGGAATTCGTGTTAACAAATTTTTACTGTATTAATTTACACGAATACATCCCCGTCATTAAAGAATTCGAAATGCAGAAGATATAATATGAAAGAAAATACAGTTAAAACTAAGGTAATGAAGGTCAATGGAGTTCACAGACTGCTATATACTAATGAATGATACATGTCCGAAGCAAATTACACAATATAAACATCTAGGACGTATATACTCGGAGGACTACATAACAGATCGAGAACATAGAAACAAGGTACCAACGACCAAGTGCATTTATATACCAATTGAGGCTGACATTAAGACATCCCAACAAAAGTATGACGGCCAAGAAACAGATTAGTAGCATCATATTCATTTAAACAGTGTGCTACCAGAGACAGACTTCAACATTATCAATATCTGACTGACTGACTGACTTTCTACCCCATCAGGACATAACACAAGCGATAAACACCCGATGACACAAAGTGCCACCATGTGGATGAGGATCGCCGTGGAGAGGTCCCAGAAACCGCGTTCAGGCAATTGGCCATATTTATGGCCTGCCTATATTGCGGCCCCTGGCAAAAGCCAGGATGGGGCATTCAAATAACAAAAAATTTCGTCCTAAAAAGGACAAAACTGGATTATATTAACATAAGCAATTATCAATATCACTTCCTCTTTGTTTTTAAACCGTTTCGAGTGACAAGGGAGACAAGGTTCGGTGTTTATGAATGTTAGAGCCAGTTAATATATAGGCATATATTTGAGAAAGCCATTGTACATAGCGTTATTAGAGACAGTCAGTGTAAACATTTACATTAAAGACAGTCAGTGTTAACACTTACACTAGAGACAGTCAGTGTGAACATTTACATTAAAGACAGTCAATGTTAACACTTACATTAGAGACAGTCAGTGTGAACATTTACATTAAAGACAGTCAGTGTTAACACTTACACTAGAGACAGTCAGTGTGAACATTTACATTAAAGACAGTCAGTGTTAACACTTACACTAGAGACAGTCAGTGTGAACATTTACATTAAAGACAGTCAGTGTTAACACTTACACTAGAGACAGTCAGTGTGAACATTTACATTAAAGACAGTCAGTGTTAACACTTACATTAGAGACAGTCAGTGTGAACACTCACATTAGATACAGTGGGAGTGAGCACTCATATTGGAGGCAGTCAGTGTAAACACTCACATTGAAGACAGTCAGTGTAAACAGTCACATTAAAGACAGTCAGTGTAAACACTCACATTGAAGACAGTCAGTGTAAACACTCACATTAAAGACAGTCAGTGTAAACACTCACACTGAAGACAGTCAGTGTGAACACTCACATTAGATACAGTGGGAGTGAGCACTCATTTTGGAGGCAGTCAGTGTAAACACTCACATTGAAGACAGTCAGTGTAAACAGTCACATTGAAGACAGTCAGTGTAAACACTCACATTGAAGACAGTCAGTGTAAACACTCACATTAAAGACAGTCAGTGTAAACACTCACACTGAAGACAGTCAGTGTTAATACCCTCATTAGAGACAGTCTATGACAACACTCATAATAGAGACAGTTAGTGTTACTCTCACATTAGAAAGTCAGTATGAAAACTTACCTTTGGGAGGTAAGTGCAAACACTTACATTAGAAACAGTCAGTTTGAACACTCACATTAGAGACAATCAGTGTGAACACTCACTTCAGAATGGTCAATGTGTGCTTTCACATTAGAGACAGTCAGTGTGAAAACTCACTTTAGAATGGTCAATGTGTGCTTTCACATTAGAGACAGTCAGTGGATACACATATATTAAACACAGTCAGTGTGAACACTCACTTTAGAGACAGTTAGTGGATATATATATATATATATATATATATATATATTATATATATTATATATATATATATATATATATATATATATATACATATACATCAGAGACAGTCAGTGTGAACACTCACTTTAGAGACAGTTAGTGGATATATATATATATATATATACATCAGAGACAGTCAGTGTGAACAATCTGATTAGAGACATTCAGTGTATACACTCACATTAGAGAAATGCAGTGTAAACAATAACATTAGAGACTGTAAGTTTAAACACTCATATTAGAGACAGTCGGTATGAACACTCAAATAATAGACAGTCGGTGTGAACACTTAGATTAGAGACAATCAGTGTGAACAGTCAGATTAGAGACAGTCAGTGTGAACACTCACATTAGAGACAGTCAGTGTGCAGTGTGAACACTCAATTTAGGGACAGGCAGTGTAAACACTCACGTTAGAGACAGTCAGTGTGAACACTCACATTAGAGACAGTCAGTGTGAACACTCACATTAGAGACAGTCAGTGTGCAGTGTGAACACTCACTTAAGGGGCAGGCAGTGTAAACACTCACGTTAGAGACAGTCAATGTGAACACTCACATTAGAGGCAGGCAGTGTGAAAACTCACGCTAAAAACTTCAGTGTGAACACTGATGTTAGAGTCAGTCAGTATGTCTACATTGACATTGGAGCATGTCATTTAAAACAAGGATGTCAGAGAACTTCACAATGTGAACACTGATGTTAGAGTCAGTCGGTATGTCTACACTGACATTGGAGCATGTCATTTGAAACAAGGATGTCAGAGAACTTCACAATGTGAACACTGACTAATGTTTGGGCTTGTGAAAATGTAAATGAAATTAAAGTCAGACATGTATGTAGTGTATAAGTGCTTCTGAGCCAGCCTATGTGTGCACGCATGTTTTCAGTCACACCATGTACATGATTATGTCAGGTAATCGGTATACACAGTTAAATCAAAGCAGTGTTTCATGGTTGTCTGAAATAGGCTATATTTATAGTGGTTAGAGTGAACATGTAATCGCATGTGTATGATGTACACTGGTAGTGCAAAAACAAGTAAACGTTGATGAGACTTACTTCGTCTAGACAACGGCTGGGTACACACAGACAGGCACACATGATGTTTATAGCTGATCCACCGCGCCAGCCACGACTTCTTGGTCGGCATGTGAACATTATCCAGCACTGAAAAAAAAGCGAACAGGTCAGTATGTGAACATCCAACACTGAAAGGCAACAAACAGGTCAGCATGTGAAAGGCAGTATGTGAACATCCAACACTGAAAGGCAACACACAGGTCAGAATGTGAACATTCTCCAACACTAACAGACAATCAACAGGTCAGTATGTGAACATCCAACACTGAAAGGCAACACACAGGTCAGAATGTGAACATTCTCCAACACTAACAGACAATCAACAGGTCAGCACGTGCATATTATTCAACACATAAAGACAATGATCAGGAGGTCATCGTGTGGATATTATCCAATACTGAAAGACAACGAACAAACAGGTCAGCGCATGTAAACGTTATCTAACAGTGAAAGGCAATGTACAGGTCAGATCATGAGGACATTATCCAATACTGAAAGACAACGAACAAACAGGTCAGCGCATGTAAACGTTATCCAACAGTGACAGACAATTAACAGGTCAGATCATGTGGACATTATCCAACAGTAAAAAGCAATGAACAGGTCAGATCATGAGAGCATTATCCAACAGTGAAAGGCAATGAACAGAACATCATGAGAACATTATCCAACAGTGAAAGGCAATGAACAGAACATCATGAGAACATTATCCAACAGTGAAAGACAATGAAAAGGTCAGATCATGAGAACATTATCCAAAACTGAAAGACAACTCACATAACTGCCAGTTTAAAAAAAAAATTAAAAAATAGCACTCTTGTGAGGCAAACATAATGCACTTTATTATTCCCCAGGTGTCTGGCCTAAAGCATTAGCATTGTTGTGGGTATATATTATGCTATGTCATTTGATATTAAAAGAGTCCTGGGGAAGCAGTGGTTAGAAAGGTATCCGTGAGCCTGATGGTTTTAAAGTGGAATACACAAAAAAGGTCAGTTCAAAATTGTATTTGGGCTCCCAGGTTGACTTAGCGTAAAATTAGAATAGGAAAAGACGTAGAAAGTAAAGGCAGTATGGGTAGATGACATCACTTATCGAGTGATTATTGTCTATACAACAATGGATCTGGCACCATATGTCTTTTGTGCCAATGACTTGAATAGGTCATGAAATCACACTGCAAACATGATTTTTCTTAAATCACAAGAATTCTGATAATGCGTGCTTGCTTCCTGACTTGGGTCACATGTTTGAAGTCATTTTATAGGTCTTTTCCGAGCCTTATTTGTCACTATGGTTAGACCTATATTTTATAGGTCTTTTCCGAGCCTTATTTGTCACTATGGTTAGACCTATATTTTATAGGTCTTTTCCGAGCCTTATTTGTCACTATGGTTAGACCTATATTTTATAGGTCTTTTCCGAGCCTTATTTGTCACTATGGTTAGACCTATATTTTATAGGTCTTTTCCGAGCCTTACTTGTCACTATGGTTAGACCTATATTTTATAGGTCTTTTCCGAGCCTTATTTGTCACTATGGTTAGACCTATATTTTATAGGTCTTTTCCGAGCCTTATTTGTCACTATGGTTAGACCTATATTTTATAGGTCTTTTCCGAGCCTTATTTGTCACTATGGTTAGACCTATATTTTATAGGTCTTTTCCGAGCCTTATTTGTCACTATGGTTAGACCTATATTTTATAGGTCTTTTCCGAGCCTTATTTGTCACTATGGTTAGACCTATATTTTATAGGTCTTTTCCGAGCCTTATTTGTCACTATGGTTAGACCTATATTTTATAGGTCTTTTCCGAGCCTTCTGACTTACTGGTCACTATGGTTAGACCTATATTTTATAGACTGATCGGCACTCCGTGGTGATGTGATCAACACCACACTGGACTCCTTTACTTCCAAGGACTTTATCTTGTATCCATTTAAGGCTGAATGGACCTGCCAGCTAATCCTAATTTTAGAAAAAAAAAAAAAAAAATCCGGCTTTGTAGGGACATGAACCCAGGACCTTCAGATCCGCAGGCGAGCGTCTAGCCGCTACACCACAGAGACTTCCTCATATGTTTAAAACTAGCCCACATTTACCCCTGTTTGCCTGTTGAGTCTCCACGGCTTTACTTTGAATCTAAGAAGGAACAAATAAAAAATCCTTCTTGCTCTTATAACTCATTTCAAGCGATGGTGGTAACATGTCCACAATAATCTATCTTGTGTACTGTCAGTCATTTTTGATACGGTTGATTTTACACGCCCTGATGCCACACCAAAAAATCTCGTTTGGTCTCCTGGTACCTTTCTTTCCCTCTAATGTACAAGTTGTCACAAAATACTCCAGTTTTTCCCTTTCTGACAGTGTCATTAGTTGTCCGCACTTCTGATGTGGGAAATCAGTTCTCCCTGTGATCTAATACTTTTATAAACATCATTACTGAGATTTTTAATGTGCCACTAGTGTAAAGTATGTATTGAATTGTCACTGGTGTGTCCGGCACACAACGCTCGCCTTAAATTGTCGTAGACCAAAAGCAACTCGAAAGGTGATGGGGTCAATATCATATAGACTAAATTTACCCTCCAAGATATTTACTAGTGACTAACTTTACACTTCAAGATATTTACTGGTGACTAACTTTACCCTCCAAGATATTTACTGGTGACTAACTTTACCCTCCAAGATATTTACTGGTGACTAACTTTACCCTCCAAGATATTTACTGGTGACTAACTTTACCCTCCAAGATATTTACTGGTGACTAACTTTACCCTCCAAGATATTTACTGGTGACTAACTTTACCCTCCAAGATATTTACTGGTGACTAACTTTACCCTCCAAGATATTTACTGGTGACTAACTTTACCCTCCAAGATATTTACTGGTGACTAACTTTACCCTCCAAGATATTTACTGGTGACTAAATTTACCCTCCAAGATATTTACTGGTGACTAACTTTACATTTCAAGATATTTACTGGTGACTAACTTTACCCTCCAAGATATTTACTGGTGACTAACTTTACCCTCCAAGATATTTACTGGTGACTAACTTTACCCTCCAAGATATTTACTAGTGACTAACTTTATTCTCCAAGTTATTTACTGGTAATTAATTTAGTTTTAGTCCACACGACAGTCCTGGCCAGTTATTAAAATCAGCCTTGATGTGGATCAGATCCTAAAACTGTCGGGCCAACAGGCAAGAAGCGATATAAATTGCAGACATTGCCAAGGGTTCCAGGCCTAAACAAATGTTAAGGTAAACAGGAGCGCCGACACAAAAAACATGAGGCCTAAAACATATTTAAGGGATAAATGATTATAATGTTGATGGTAATATTATTAATGATAATAGTAAAAATAGTAAAATAATTGTGAGTTTAACAGCATTGATTATTAAAAAAAAAAAAAAAATAACTGGTTCAAATCCACACTGAATTTTCTTCCTAAATGACTTTGGCTCCCAAGTCGATCCAGTCGAAAACAGGTATCAGTTAAAATCCTGGAAACTAAAGGCGACCGGTAGAATGCTGATAACATCAAACAACTAGTGCTGATTGGTCTATAAAAACAAGTCTGGCACAATATATCCAATACACATAAGGTCGTTAAAAAAAGTCCTTTACTTTGCTTAATAATAGCAAACTTCTTCTTCTTTTGTCAAAATCTGCTTGTGCCGCTAGGCTTCGCAGTCTATCAGATGATCGGCAACCGAGCCAGGGCGCGCTCAGTCGCTTCATATGCCGTGATGTTATGAAGTCTCAAGTTGTCCGTGACTCCTTTAATCCATCTTCTTCTTGGTCTTCCCCTGCCTCTTGGTGTTTCGATTTTCATGTTGTATGCTCTTGATGCTGGCATCGTTGGTTCCATTCTCATTAGGTGACCAAACCATTTCATTCTTTGCTTCTCAATAAATTTAACGATTGGTATGGTTCCAATAGTTCTTGTAATCACATCGTTTCTCACTCGATCTCTTCTGGTTTTATTCGCAGCCATTCTCAAACATCTCATTTCACAGGTGGTTAGTCTTCTCTCGTGTTCTTTTGTTAATGTCCAAGTCTGACATTGATAACCTAATGTCGGTATAAAGATTGTATTTATAATTTGTCTTTTTATCTCAGCTGGGACAGCAGGGTGTTTTAAAATTGGGGCAAGCTGGTATGCGACATTTTTGGCTTGTTGGATTCTTGCTTCGATCTCTCTGTCTATTTTACCATTGAATGTAAAGATACTTCCCAAGTATTTAAATTCTTGAACTTGTTTTAGGCTGTGATCTAGAATCTTTATGTCGGTGGTCTGTTGCTCTCTGCTTATGCTCATGACTTCTGTCTTTTCAGTATTGATCTTCATATGATGCTTGAGGCAACTGTCGTGTAGTAGGTTTATGTGGTCTTGCAGCTGTTTACTATCACTGTGAAATATGCATTGATCGTCAGCAAAGAGCAGCTCATTGAAGTCCTCCTGTTTATCCACATCTGTTGGTGTTATGTATATTTTATTAATATTGTCCATTAATATTATGAAAAGTAAAGGTGATAATACTCAACCTTGTCTTACTCCTGATGTTACTGGGAACCAGTCTGTGATGCCAGCTCTTGTTCTAATGGCGCTTTCACTTTGTCTATAAATAGCCCTAACACAATCTAAAATTGTTCTATTTTTTTACCGTAGTTTTCAAGAACTTTCCATAATAAATTTAATAGCAAACTACTGGACGTAAATTTGCCTAGAAAAACCCCACAACAGGCAAGGGCTGTTAAAGTTGGTTCTGCAAGGTCCTGTAAAGGATACGCGCTGAACCTAACTTTGCTTACTATAATAATAATGTCCTGAATGTCAACTAAATATAACAATAGATTGATTTGACATATATAAACACAGTTTTTAAAAGAGAACTTGTATGCATGGTAAGAAAACGGCTTACTATTTAACAAAAAGAAATCAGTGACAGAAAAAAAATCAACACTTAAAGGATGGTAGAAACCACACTACTACACCAGCAAAACTATGCTGTATCCACGACGAATGAACCCCCCCCCCCCCCCCCCGGACACAAAGAAAGAAACCACTAGG